CTACTATGTTTAATATAAAGACGTAAAGTTTCAAGTTTCTGGTGCAGAAGGTCTGGTAAATAATGAAAATGTCATTTTAAAATTTTATCCTTGAAATTTCGCAATATTTGTTTTTGAAAAAATTATATGTTAAGGGCTTATATAAACTCGATAACTTCCTCGAGTTTTGTTCTTTGAACTTTGTCAGCTTAAAAATTACCTATTCGTCCTTGTGAATCCAAAAAATTTAATTTTTTTAAATTCTAAAAAATTTCCTATTGCATTTGTTACCCATATTTTTATTCTACATTGCATTGAATTTTTTTAACAATTTTTGAAATTAATCATATCTTTTAAATTACAAAGTCCTTCAAAATAATTCCTGTGGTCAGAGAGAAAATAAAAACGCCACTTTAAGTAAAAAAGTAGGTTTCAAACCCATTTATTATTATTTATTTCATGGTAGGAGAGCTTCTCAAACAATATAGAAGCAATTTTTTCGATTCAAGTTGTTGAAAAGTAATGAATATCTAAATCCCGGGACTAATCCCGGGATCACCAGAGTATGACAACGCCATCGCGAAAATCCCGGGATCGGAAAAAGCTGAAAATTAATATCCCTAGTATGTACATACATATGTATGTATATAAGTAGGTAAATATGTATAACTATATGTATATAAAGTTTGAGAGAAAACTTGAAAGCTTCTATGTCATTGTGACATGATGTTCAGACAATCCAGCAATACGCTGTCGTGAATGTCAAATCTCTGTTGACAAGTGTCGCTGTTATTTTTGCACTTATAATGAGAAAAAAACTGACGTTTCAAAACAAATTTGTGCATGCATATGTATGTACATCAGGGTATATTTTTATTTTAAACCCGGTTAATATTTACCTGTACAGCCGTGGCTTTGAAATTTCCCATGTATTTTACATGGGAAAAATAATTTTTTTCGTATAATTGCTATAAAATCATTAAAAATAAATATTTTTGATCGAATAAGACTATTTTCTTTCAAAGGTCTTCAAAAAATATCACTATGATGCTTATTTAATGTAAAAATGTTACTAATGACGATTTCGTTTCTACCAAAAAATATCGCATTTTGATTGTCCCTTTCTCCTTTCGTGTTCAATTCTTAAATAAGGGCAAATGGTGGGAAAACTTTGTGTTCATTTTTTTGAATGTCACACTTCTGTAAGGCAAAAATAGTCAAGTTTCCTGCCCTTTGAAGCTTTGTCGAGGGGGGATGAATGCCCAGAAAATCCAATGGCTGCATAAAACGATAATATTATGAAATTCGTGAGCTGGAATAAGGACAAAAAGCAAAAACATGCCCTTTTTAAGGGTGAGTGTAACATCAAACACATTTTTCAGCGTGCAAGTGCCACCCTAATAAACATACATATGTATGAATGTGTGCATATTTCGTTTAATGAAAATTCTCATTCACTGTCATTCGTATGTGCTAAATAAATTGGGCTTAAAATTTGTGGAAGACTTCAACTATGTATGTACTTATATTTAGTTACGTATGTATGCCTTCCTGCGCATTTATGCATGAAATTTACTCTATAGACAAATGCGCCACATATGTAACTACGCACCAAGAACTTTTTATATAATGATTTTCGCCAGAACACAGTAAAAATATGTACATATGTACAAATCTTATACAATTTTTTCGCTTTTTCGCATACCACATATTAGATATTCAACTACTATACAAGAACAGACAATAAAGGACTCACCAATTTCATTTTACAAATACATATATATCGCCTAAATTAGAAGACTCCTATCGCCAAATCACCTTAAGAGTCCATTTAGGGTGCGTAAATGGCAAAGGAACGAGTCATTGCGGGCAGCTGTTCAAATTTGACTCCTCTAAAAAAACTCACTCCAATATTTTCGAGAAACTGCGCTTTACAAAAGTCCCAGTAGGACAGGTGAAACACAGTGGGTTTATTTGTCGTTGTTTTTCTCTCTTTCTATCAACGACCAATTTGATATATTTCACCGTCCGGCAAAACACGTTTACGCTGCGTCTTAAGTATCTATTTTTTTAACGAAATTTCAAAAAAAAAAAAACAAGTAAAGAAGTATAAGTTTGGGCGGACCCAATTTTATATATCCGGCGCAGGTATCAACTATCGTTGTTCCAAATTTTTCGAAGTGAAACTTCTTTAGCGGTGGTTTGTTGGTTGGGAGTAAATTCGTAAATTCAACGCAAATTGCACACGGAAATGGTACAACGGGAATGATGCAACGGAAATGGTTGGGGCTGAAACAAGTGCTTCTTGTGTGTATGCACATGGTATTAATTTAACAAAAACGTTCTAATAAAAGGTTAAAGAATAACACTTAGAAAAAGGCCAATACAAGAATGAAAGTAAAGTTGAGTGCGTACATAGATAAAGAAAAGGATAAAGACAAGGTAAAAATAAAAACAAAAACAAAGATGCATAAAGATAAAGGCAAAAATGAAGACCAAGGTAAATTTAAACACTTCACTTACATTTATATAAGGGCAAAGGTGAAGGGGAATATGTAGATGAAGAAAATGATAAACATAAAAGTAAACAAAAAGAGGAGGATGCGGATACCGATAAAAGAAAAGATGAAGATAGGGGAAGAAAGATTAAATTGAAGGTAATTAAAGAGGAAAGGATATAGAGAGAGACACAAAGACTCAACCTGGGAACTATTTTGTAATTTTAGAGATTTTCGGAATTCACGAGACTTATCGCAAAAATAATCGATATTTTTATCGGTTTTGTTGTCGATATTTCTATCGGTTTTGTTATCGGTACTTTTATCGATTTTTTGTTATCGAGAGTTATCGATATTAATCGATTTTGTTGCCGATATTCTCGATTCCTACAGGCAGTTACAAACAACCTTTATGCGAAAAAAGTTATAATACCATCTGCACAAGTGCGCTCGTGTATAAAACTGAGTTTGAAAACGAAAACTAAGAACAAGGTTGTTATTTATAAAGTGTAATACAAGATTTTTTGATACCTATGAAACGAACAATTTTTTGTGTTTTTTATGGTTTCAAAATTGGTTGGTTTCAGGCACAGCTTGTCTGATGATCAAAATGTTTTTATAAAACACGTAGTATGTAGAGAAATTATAAACCCTTTAACTGTAGTATATTTTTTATCTCCATAGCAGGAGTACTTTGTACGTTGTTGGTGTCGAATTTCGACATTAACTGTGCCTCCTACTTAAATACATATACATATGTATATTTTACGAAAAAAATAACCAAAAATGGCCCAAGCTAGAATTTAGGAGTTTCTTAAGTACAAAAAAAAATCTTCCTTTTACAATTTCATAGCACCAGTATAGAGCAAAATCTTGATTGTATGAACGATTGCAATCAGTGCGCTACCACATATGTATGCATATAAATACCTAGAANGTTTCTTAAGTACAAAAAAAAATCTTCCTTTTACAATTTCATAGCACCAGCATAGAGCAAAATCTTGATTGTATGAACGATTGCAATCAGTGCGCTACCACATATGTATGCATATAAATACCTAGGAACTTTATGCTACAAATACTTCATTAGCGTATGTATGTATATTCACTCACCTGCATAGAATAATGGCAGCATATTAAAGATGATGATGAGCGAGAATAGAGCGCGTGAGAATGACTGGAGATCAGCCAGAGCCACCGTAAATTTCGTACGCATAGAGCAACGCATTGTAGATAGAAAAGGTTTAGTAGTCGTGGTTGCAGCAACACCATTAACAAAGCCAGCAGCAGCGGACGCCACTCCGTCACAAAGCTCGCCGACAGCGCACCTGTTGCAACTACAAATGCTGTGGTGGTTTTTATAATGAAAGATACTTCGTTGTTCGACTGTTGCACATGCAACTGTTGTGGGCTGTAGTAGCAATGGTATTGTTGTAGAAGCTTCAATCTGTTTCGATAGCTGAGGCGTTGCATTGTATGAGCAATAGCTGCCGGCAAATAGTTGTGAAAAATGTGCTTTAGAGTCATTCGATTGACTGGCATGTTGTAGTTGTTTTTGTTGTTTGTTGTCATTAACATTTCTGGAAGATTGGCGTAAGCATGAGAAAGCGTCAGACGGATTACAATAGCAGCCACACCCGCTAGCTGCTTGGCAGCAAGCGTCCACATTGTACTTTTTCTTGCATTTCGTTTTCCCTGATTGGTAGCTTTTGGTTTTGCTTTTGTTTTTGTTGTTCTGTGTTTGTTGTGTAATGTGCTCACAACCACCTCTACACAGTTTACAAGCGCCTGCAGCCACACTACTAGCAATATCGCCATTACCGACAATAGAGATTTGTTGCTGGATATAATCTTTTTGTTGTCGTTGCAACTCGCTACCAGTTGCTGCTGCGTTTGACATGTTTGCAAATCCTTTGATTTTTCTCCTTCTACTTTCCGAATGGCATCTTTGGTGCATTCGTTGTTGTTTTTGTTTTTGAGGCCTCTCTCCTGGTATCTCACTGTAACCACTGCAATGTGCTGAACATTCGCTTTTACTTCTGCCTCTTTGCAAACCTTCCACAAAGCGGTGATTTTCAATATCATCTTTGCCTTTGCAATACTTTTGATTTTGCGGCAGCAATGACTTCGCTTCGCTTGAGTTTGGTTGTTTCCTGGCAGCAGTTGTTTTCCATATTGATGGCGATGCGATAAAGTGATATCCCTTTTCACTCCTTTGTAATGACTGCAAATGTAACTGTGGCGGACTCTGTTGTAAGGATTTTCGCAATATCTGGTCGCTCTTAGAATGTTGCTTCTCATTCGTTGTTCCTGTATTCTGGTGTTTTGTGCCCAATTCGCATTGAATCGAAGAGTACTCGACAACGGTAAGTGAGGGTTGACGATGCGATGACAATAGGCTCGATATTTCTGTTGAGGCGTTGGTTTTTGTTGCTTCTGTTGATGCTGATTTTGCTGATGCCTCGTCTTTAAATTGTTTCCGCTCGTTGGCGAGGATGTATGCCTCTGGCGCTTGTATGCCGGAAGTGTGTTGCGCGAAACAATGCTGAACATATGCTGTTGTTGTTGGAAGTGTTTGTGTTGCTGTTGCCTCTGTTTTTGTTGTAGTGTTGCTGTAGTATTGTAATATATCTGCTGAGGCCATGTTGTGCCCTATTCATTCATCGCATCAAAGGCGTCGTTAAACCGGAAAGAAAGAGACAAGTGAGAGAAACAAGATAAAAAGGATTACAAATAGAGGCATTGAAAAAGCGTGTCTGTTATTTGCATAAAATCATTTAATCCGAAAGTATATTTGAAGCGGTATGAGATATAGCACTGCGCGACAGCCGAAACCGGACTTTGTTAACATTTCCTGAAAGTATAACCATCCGGTAGTAAAACACTCGATGGATTTTCAAAAGTTACCTCGTATTTCTCGGCCTAATTAGTTTTCGAAAAAAAAAAATTGAAATAAATGTTTGAACGAAATTATGGTAAAATTTCATGTGAAATATTTTCGTAGAACATTTTAACTTATTAGCTCACGTCTGAAAGGGTTTGATCCTTACTTCAAAAAATGCCGCAAAAGCAAATTTGGAAGGTCGTTAGAGGATTGCTATATTCTAGATTCTTCTTCGGAAAATTTTGCTAGGGATCTTCTCAGGCAAAACCTCATGCCACCAACGTAAAAGTCTCTATAAAATTTGAAAAAAATAAAATCTATGCCAATAAGGAATAACAGCTAAACTCAATTTAAAAAAAATAAAAAAAATTAAAAAAAAGCAAGTTTTTTTCTGCCTCAACAAACGCCTAATGAAATTTTCCGAAATAAAATTTTCTAGAATTTATCAATGCCCCAACGGCATTACAAATTTGCTTTTTGCGGGGTTTCTTGAAGTCAGGCTCAAAACGACCCTTTCAGGCGGGAGCTGATGAGTTAAATTGTTCTGCGAAAATATTTCGCGTGAAATTTTACCATATATATCTTAAACTTTAATTTCGCTCAGACATTTATTTTAACCATTTTTTCCACATTTTTGAAAACAACTTAGGCCGGGACATGAAATAAAAATACGAGCTAACTTTTGTAAATCCATCGAGTGTTTTATTACGGGATATGTGGACCGTTTATTTTGAACGTGGTATAAGTCACTTCGTACTTAACGTACTTAAATAATCTGTAAATCGCTATATCGTCATAAACTAACGACAAACCCTTCTACCTTTGGTTGATGAAGTTGAACGAATAGCGGACGCGATCAGATACAAATAACCGGTCATTTAAGCACAAGACCTGTGAAGTGACTTATACCACTTTCAAAATAAACGGTTCATGTATACTTTCAGAAAATATTAGCAACGTCTTTCTTCAAAACCGCATAATTGACACTTTTTGCCAAAAATTGGATTGAAACGCGGTTTGCATTTTGTTGATACGCGGTTTTGTACTTTAAATGACGATGATGATATATATTCTCAATGGGTTTAAGAGCCGCACTCAGAAACTGTTATTTAATGAGAAAAACAGGGTTAAAATATAAGGGCTCATTATTTCTGTGCTCGTTTGGAAAAGTAGCTTATGTCGAAAGGCTGGCTTTAGTATAATACGGCATTCCCTTTATTCTTTAAACGACAAGGAATTTTTGGATGAGACTTAACAAGAATATTGACTTGCTAGTATCGGAATTATTTCTTGCACGTTTATTTGCCAAAAGTTTTTCAACGGCTCAGCGTCGTTGAGTCATTCGCAATCGTATGCTGCGAATGCCGATTTATACTAAAGCCAGCCTTTCGACATAAGCTACTTTTCCATACGAACACAGATTTAATGAAAAATTAAAGTATGGCCAAAGTTTCGGCCCTTTTTTTGTGGCATCACTCACATTTTCCTGCCTCAGCAATCCCAATGGCCGAGTGAGCAGAGCAGAGAGATCCGAGATATAATCCCCGTCCAACGGAATTTTCTTTTTCCCCACTTTATTCATTTGTTCATTGAATTTTCTGTTATTTGTTATATGTTATACACTAGCAAATACCCGGCGTGCTTCGCTGCGCCTTAAAAGTACTTTTTTGTTGTTACTCCCTCTCAAACTATTACCATATCATTTATAAAAAAAAAAAGATTTGAAGAGCTTTATGAAGTTAGATTTTCTAACAAGTTTTCGAAAAATTAAACATTATTTATTTTTTATAATAATGGGTGCTAGTTAATATATTTTCGAAGATATTTACAAAGTAGGTAAAGCATCGATTTTCTCCTGAAAATTTAATTTCTAATCTTATAACTCGAGCCTACATATCGCGAACTATCTTCGAAGATGTATTTATTCGGTAATACGGTAATTTATGTTACTTAACAAGGGGAAATAATTTTTTTTTAATTTGAAAAAAAATCTACAATTTTTACAAAACAGGTATTAACTAATAATTTTCGATGTAGTGACAGCGTGTAACAAAACAAAAATACTTTGAAGGCGCTGCGAAGTACGCGGTGTGTTTCCTAGTTGAAGACATATCTGGATCAAAGATTTCTCAAATACTTTTCTTTGATACCCATATTTTATAATCGCCATTTAGCCTTTGATTCAACATTTGACCTTTGACCTTTGATTCAACATAAAAATACCTAACTTTTCACATATTAAAAATAATAATAACTCTCCACCATTTTTGGGCAGAGCGGCATGCGTCCTGACGTGGATGAGCGCGATGGCCAACATTGGTACAGTGATGTCCACCCTTGGAAACAGTGTGGCCTTTTGAAAAATTCAATACGGCGTTCCAACTATGACGCCAAAGCTAACTGTAAATTAGATTTTAATTTTCAACTTCTGTGCCTCTGGAGAACCCGACATTACGAAAGAAAAGGTAGCGGCGTTTTGCTCGAGGGTTTCTAAAGTCCATTATTACGAATCTGAAGCTTGAATGCAAATTCTCAAACTGACGGACCCAATATGGTGGCTATAAAAATTAAATCGACTAGATTTGCTTAAAACTGTACGGTCGGGGGTTCTTAACGTCGGTGATTACGAATCAATTAATAAATAAGGATATAGGCCCATTTTTCAAAATTCTATAACAATCATATTTATTGTGAAGACATTGTTGCAAGTATTGATTTTGAGTAAATTGGCTTCCTAAGCTATTCAAACCTCAGTGGTTTTGTATGGGTACCAAATGCAAGATTAAATTTTAGAATTAAAAAAAATAAAAAATTTTTTTGCATTCACAGGGATGAATAGGTAATTTTTTAAGCTGATAAAGTTAGAAGGACGAACTTCGAGGATGTTATCCAAGCACCAAGTTGATAAGTTTGTATCATTTTTCATATTTGATTGTTTTTTAATTTTTATTTTTTTTTATATACAAAGTATATGATCATTCTTTGTCGCTTTAGCTCGGATTCGAAGAATCATATTTAGGAATTTATTTGAGAAAAATAAAACGTCTAGATTATTATTTGGATTTTCCTTGATTTTAAATTTGCTATCCCAAAATAATTGATATCACCTCTTTGAGGTATAATTTTCCAATGGCGAAAGCTGAACTAGAGACACAAAATTCATAAAATTTAAATTTATTCGGAACTTTGCAAATTTCCGTCTACTGTTAGAAACACAAAATAAAAATACAGAACTTTAGCAACGACTCGCATGAATAAAAAAAAAAAAATCCGTCAGTTTCCATGGCATTAAAAAATTTCGTAAAATTTTCATCACGAAATTGATATCATAGATTTTGTGTTTCTAGTTCAGCTTTCGTCACTCGAAAATTTTACCTCAAAGAGGTCTTTTATTTGCTAAAATCTACAGAAAATTTAAAAAAGTTAAGACAGTGGCGGATTTGAGTATTTGTCACCCATAAGCAATTCAGTTTTTTCCGCCCTTTTCCGATAAGAAAAATATTTTATACTAAATTAGTATTTTTAATTATAATAATTTAAATAATATCAAAAATACCTAACAGCGTTATCTTATTTCCTGATTGCGTAATTGTCTCGAATTTATAATTATTATTAATTTATTTTACTTTCAGTGCAGCTAACTTGAAAAAAGATTTTTTTTACGCAAATTTTGCGGTCCCTAAATTTTGCCGCCCTAGGCACATTTCTATGTTGCTTTTACGACAAATCCGCCACTTGTAAGACTTTTAAGTTCTTTACTTTGCTGCTATACACTAATGTAGCTTTTTGACAAACCTAAAAAGTTTCTAGATTACAAATAATTGTGCTTACAACTATAACTGTGAACTTTTAAAGCTTTCAGTTCAAAGTGGCTCAAATGTTATGGCTCTTGACAGCTTTAAATATGCTCAAAAATACTTAAAAAACTTTGCAACTTTCAGCTTTGCTATAGAAAGCTTTGGTAACAATTTAACATTTTTAAAAATGTATGTAAGTATATTTATGAAAGTTCTGTGGCAACGACTCTTTGCAGTACATATGTACGTAGAGCAGCGATGAGCAGAGAGAGCTTTTACTCTGCACGCGCCTATACAAAATATATAGGAAGCTTAAAAGAGCTTTGCCCGCGGGCAAGGCAGTGCCCATCAGTGACGTAGAGCAATGCTCAGATATACAGAAAATAAAAAGGAGAATAATTTCCTGTGCTTGGTATTAAAAAAATCTACGTACATATGTACTGCAAAGAGTCGCTGCCACAGAACTTACATAAATATACTTACATAC